CCATGCACACCGCACGCCTGCGCAGCATAGAACGAGAGACACAAGTGGAGGTGGAGGAGGAGGAGGAGGAGGTGGAGGAGGAAGGGCAGGAGGAGGAAGAGGGGAAGAAAGGGAGGAGGGCAAGTAGGATTGCGAGCGACGAGGGAGACACGGTGGTGAGAGTAATAGAGCCATGCGCTACAGCTGCAAGTCTCGCCCACGCTGCCATGGAGGAGAGCGCCATGCGCTAAGTACCAAGTGGCGCTCCAGTGCCCTGCGCCCTGTGATGCAACAGCGCCTCGCGCGGACTGACGTCAGCCACCCTGGGGGCAGCGAAATCCCGTTCGCGCCGAGATTGGGGGGGGGGGGGGGGGCGGCAAGCGGTTTGCCAGTTCGTGCCTGGCAGACTTTTCTTTGGACTCGGTCTTCACTCGCTCACTCACCTGCTTCCCTTTTCCCTTAGTCAGTTGTCTCATTGGCATTTGTTACCCATGAGCACAATCTCCCCGCTCAGACTCAGTCATCTTCAACAGTAAACATGTTCAAATTGCTCACACTTGCTTGCTCATACGCAGACCGTTTCGAACTCAGATTTTTGCACACCCAGGCCAACTCATATTTTGACCTACCCACAAACAGACTCACCCACCCTGAGACTCAATCATTCTGGCCACCTCGCACCCATGCTCATTCATATTCACATTTCTGTGTACCACATTCAATATCAGACTCACCCACACTCCGAGTCACTCACAGTATGGCCCGTTCGCACGTGTATTCGGTCGTATTCAGACTCGCTCATACCCAAACTCGCATTCAGACGGACGGTCGCCTGTTTCACTCCCATTCTAGAAGCACACCTGGATCCAATCAAACGTCGGCTCGCTCACATTCAGATCCCCCGCGCTCAAATTTACTCGCACCTAGGCTCACGCACAAGTGGCTAGCGCGATATCGCTTGCATGGCACTGGGGCGCACAAAATGCCAGCACGTGCCGCGAATAACGCGCCAGAAAGCAGGCGTATCAACACAATGCGCGGTTGCTCGAGTTGCCGCGGGGAGAACGGCAAACTGAACCGTCTTGCCGTTTTTCCATTTGTGTTTATTTTTCTCTCGTGGGAAATTGTCCAGAGGAGGAAGAGGTGGGGAGGAGGAGGAGGAGGAGGTCACTGAAGTTGTTGCTGTCGTCGTCCTTGCTGCGCCAGTCGTCTACGCGGACTCGCTCTCACACCCATACTATCACAGGCAAGGCGTTTCAGCGAGACGCGACATGAGTTTGAGATGCACATTTGGGGGATTCCGCGTCGAGTACTTTCACGTGTTGTGCTCATAGTTGTGTTGGTGAGTTGCGTCCTGGCAGTAGTCGTCGCAACATGTTTTATTTGAATTCGTTACATTCCCTGGCCCCCCTCTACCCCGTGCACATGCCTCGTCCCATGACGCGCACCCCGCATCCCTTTCCCTGGCCCGCGCACGCGAGCAGTGGCAGATCCGCGCTGTTCCGGAGCTTCGGGAGGAGGGCTGCGCAGCCCCCCGCTCGCAGGGAGCCCCCAGCGAACAACAACCATGTGAGAATTCCCAGTCGTGCCAAAACACGACTGTTGGGAATCCGGCGCCGCGAATCAACGTGAGCTCTGCGTTGTTGCAGACCGAGATCGAGCCAGAACGCTGTCCTGGGACTTCAACTGGGACTTCAACACTTGCAGCATCCTGACAATCCTAAGCCGTGCCAAACAAACATTATTGGGACCTCAACCGCACGAATCCTTGAAGTTGTTACAGATTCTCAAGGCCAATGCGCGCGGCGCTGAGGCGATCACCACATTCGAGATACAACAAACGTCCGCTCTCAGAAATTCAGGACGAATGTGCGCGGCGAGAGACACATTTTGAGAAGAACCGCCGTCCATCCTTGAAGGTGCTGCGAGTTCTGACGACGCAGATGCGCGGCGCTGGTGCGAGAGAGCCACAGGTTGGAACTGGGCCGCCCCCGACGTGCGAAGCTGCTCCAGAGTTCCCGCTGCTGTACCACAGACGGTGAGGAAGTCTCAGGCGAGACACCTGGCCCTCCCTACCAGCACGTCGGGGGTCGCGACAGAGAAGAGTTCCATAGAAAGCAAGGGTTGGAGGAGGAGCGAGGAGGAAGAGGAGCGAGCAGCGAGGAGCGTGGAGCGAGGAGGGAGGAGGGAGGAGGGAGGAGGGTGGAGGGAGGAGGAGGAGGGAGAAGGGGGAGGGAGGAGGGAGGAGGAAGAGGAGGCGGAGGAGGGGGCAAAGATTAGGAGATCCCTCCTCCTGAACACCCTCGCGTCATGATCAAACATCACGACGGAAGGCGTGTTGCCCATGCTCAGCCTCCGGAGGCCGCCTCTGGGCCTTGGGGGCGTCAAGAAACGACTCGGGATGAGCAGCTGGTCCACGGGAAGGGGCCCCGACCTCTTCCCTAAGACCTTGACTATTATTTTCCAATTCAGCGTCGCAAACAACGAGTTCGACTGCGCCGACATTCGCGCGAAAGCAAATTACCTGCGAAGATGACGCGTAAGTGCCTTCGTCTCCAGTGTGGCGTGCCGCGCTGGCTGCCCGCGTTGGCCATCGCGTAAGGTCGGTATGCCGTCTTGCTCACGGTCCTTTCCTTCTCCTCGTTGAACCGACTCTGGGGATCAGGCTGGATGGATCTAGGCAGATCCACATTCGCCGAGGTAGCTCCAAGTAAACTTCCATGTGTTCAGTGCTACCCTGGCAAGCCCGGAACACACAGCGGAAGCATGCAGCGCGAGCCGAGGGGCAGCAGGAGTCGAGAAGCCCGCCTCGACCCCTGGCAAAAGCAGAGGCCCGCGCGACACGACGTCGGAGGTCTGCCCCCCCACGCTCCCCCCAACGTCACGATTTGTGCTCGACGTCGACCACCAAAGTTCCCAGACCCCCTCGAGTAATGAAACAATCGTGACGGAAGGCTTTTCCGTAATTTTCGGCCTCTGGGGGCCCTCACCGGGCCTCGGGAGCGTAAAAAAACGACTCGGGATGCAAAGCCGGTCATGGGGAAAGGGTCGGGACTTCTGGGGGTCGACGTAATGAAAAAATCATTACGTCGGGGGTCTGGTTTCTCGACCCATTCCGCAGGATCGGTTTCTCACCCTGAGTTGCTCTTCGACGGCCCCGAGGCCGAGTCATGGCCAGCGGAGGCCATCAAGAATACCAACCGTCCGTCGGGACCTGTTTCACATCCCGAGTCGTTTTTTGACAATCCTGAGGCCCTAAAACAGGGCTAGGATCGGGAAAAATCGCTCCAGAGCGTTCCGGAGCGCTCTCAGAGCGTTTCGGAACGCTCTGGAGCGGCCGCGGCGCCCAATACATCCTCCAAACCAACCGATTCTCAGATTTCGAGTTATCCCGATCCGATGTTGTCCCGATCTTCGCGTCGTCTTAGGCCCGGCATGGACCCCCAGAGGCGAACAGTGACGAGCAATTTTCCGTCGGGGCCGCTTTCTCCTCTTGCGCCTTCTTTGACGGCCCCGATGCCCGCGAGGGCCTCCGGAGACCAGCGACAGCGAGAAAAACCTTCCGGAATTCGGCGGCGAGCGGCGAGGGGGGGAGGTGAGAAAAGGGGCGGGCCGTCCCAGACCCCCTCGAGTAAGGAAAGAATCGTGACGGGAGGCTTTTCTTAATTTTCGGCCTCAAGGGGGCCCTCGCCGGGCCTCGGGAGCGTCAAAAAACGACTCGGGATGCAAAGCCGGTCCTGGGGAATGGGTCGAGAACTCTGGGGGTCGACGTCATGAAAAAATCATGACGTCGGGGGTATGGGTCTCGGACGACTGGAAAGTCCCCCAGCCTTCTGAGGAGTTTCTTGGGCACTCCCCGGATAGACACGGAAGATTTCTCAGGCGAGGGCTTCTGGGAAGCCCCGCCGCTTTCTGAGGAGGCCTTCTCCTCCTCGCTTCCCCCCCGTCGCTCGCCGCCGAATGATGATCTATCTATGGCCCGAGGGGGTCTGGGCTTATGATGTTCCAGCCCTCTTTAGCCTTGGGCAACAGAAAGAATTTCGAGCACCACGAGAGTACTGAAACTGGAGGGCTTTCGCGCGTCGGGCCCTGGGAGGCGATGCTCGTCCGACACTGTTTCGCTACGATTTTCTGGGCGCTCGAGATTATGTCTGGGATGTGGTCCTTAGCCGCTAAGCCAAGACCCCCGACGTAATGACTTTTTCATTACGTCGACCCCCAGAGGTCCTGACCCTTTCCCCATGACCGGCCTTGCATCCTGAATCGTCTCTCGACGCTCCCGAGGCCCGGCGAGGGCCCCCGGAGGCCGAGAATGAAGGAAAACCTCCCGTCACGATCTTTGCATTTCTCGAGGGGGTTTGGGAAGTACGCTGGGAGCAACACAGGGCCAGGGGTTCTCAAGGATTCCTTATGGATTCCCAAGGATTCCTTAAGGATTCCCTCAGGATTCCTTAGGGATTCGCAAGGATTGCTTCAAGAATTCCTGAAGGATTATTTCGGATTCCCAAAGGATGCCCTGGGGATTCTTGAGGGTTCCCTAAGGATTCTCCAGGATCCCCTAGGGATTCTTACGGATACCTCATGGATTCTTAAAGATTCCCTGGACATTCCACATGGATTCTTGATGATTCCATAAGGGTGCTTAACCCAGACCCCCGACGTCATGATTTTTTCATGACGCGGCCCCCAGAGGTCCGGCCGGACCTATTCGCCGGGACCGGTTTTTCACCCCGAGTCGTTTGTTGACGGCCCCGAGGGCCGGTAAGGGCCCCCGGAGGCCGAAAACATAGAAAAACCTCCCGTCGTGATTTTTGCACGACTCGACCCTGACCTTCCAGGAGGGCTAAAAAATAGCACCCGACCTAAAAACCTATTCCAGAGCTATTCTACGTCTTGGTTTTAGGCTGTTTCGTTTAGTTTTTTAGGTTTTTAGGTCTCCAGTGCTGAAAAATAGCTCTCTGGAAGGTCAGGGGAGGGGGTCTGGGAAGGACGAGAGGGGGGGGCCGGGCCGCCCCGGGGCCGCCCGCCGCCCCGAGGCCGGAGCGCGGCAGGCGGCCGCGGGCGCCGAGGCCCTGCGCCCGCGCGCCCTCCACGCGCCCGGGCCGCGGCCGTACTCGGCGCAGGCCGTGGCCGGCAGCCCGGGGCGGCCGAAGCTCCCAGGCCTTGGGCGTTGCGTAATGGAGGGGTCATAAATAGGGGGGTGGCGAGGGTGGTCCGAAAAGGTACCCAAACGGTGCCTAAACGAGCCCCTCGGGACTCCAGAGGGGCCCGAAAGGGGCACGAAAAGGGACCGTTTCTGACCCCCCCATTTGTGACCCCCCCATTAAGCAACGCCCAAAGGCCCCCGCGAGTAAGGAGAAAATCGTGACGGGAGGTTTTCCGAATTTTCGGCCTCAAGGGGGCCCTCGCCGGGCCTCGGGAGCGTCAACAAAGCGACTCGGGATGCAAGGCCGGTCCTGGGGAAAGGGTCGGGACCTCTGGGGGTCGACGCAATGCAAAAATCATGACGTCGGGGGTCTGGGGGGGAAGCGAGGAGGAGGAGGCCTCCTCCCCAGACCCCCCTCGTGGAGTCACGAGGAGAAGGAGAAGAAGCGGCGGCAAGTTTTTCGCTGTGTTCGGCCTCCGGGGGCCCTCGCCGGGCCTCGGGGCCGTCAAAGAACGACTCCAGATGAAAAGCTGGTCCCGGGGAATGGGTCCAGACCTCTGGGAGTCGCGTCATGAAAAACTCATGGCGTCGAGGGTCTGGGTCAGAAGGTTCGGAAGTCCCTCGGCCTTCTGAGAAGTGCTCTAAGCCTTCCCCTTCTCCGAAGGTTCGGAGGTCCCTCGGCCTCCTGAGATGTGCTCTGAGCCTTCCCCGAAGGCATCGAAGACTCCTCAGAGGGCCGGCGGGCTTCTGGGAAGCCCCGCCGCCTTCCGAGAGGGCCTTCTCCCCCTCACCGCCCCGCCTCGCTCGCCGCCAGAAAAGATTGTGGGGTCCGTCGCTAGCCATGGCGCAGCGGGTCCTGAGCCTGAGGGAAGCGGGCCCCGAGGTTTCTCGACGCTTTGGGCTTCCTGGGGCCCTCCACGGGCCCCGGGGCCGTCGGGAAGCGATTCTAGATGAAGAACTTTCCTCCGTCTCCTCCTCCTCCTCCTCCTCCTCCTCCCTCCCTCCCTCCCTCCCTCCCTCCCTCCCTCCCTCCCTCCCTCCCTCCTCCCTCCCTCCTCCCTCCCTCCCTCCCTCCCTCCCTCCTCCTCCTCCTCCTCCTCCTCCTCCTCCTCCTCCTATTGATCACGGGGGAAGACCCCAGCGTCCAGGGCGACCGATGTCTCCGTCGGCGGCGAGCGAGGGGGGGGGAAGTGAGAAGGAGGGAGGCCCTCTCAGATGGCGTCGTGGCTTCCCGGGGCATCTCGGATGCCCTCGCGCCCTCCGAGGAGTCTCCCCTGTCCGCGGGCAAGGCTCAGGAGACTTCTCGGAAGGCCGGGGCGCTTCCGAGCCTTTGAGAAGGCCCGCCCCTTCTCCCCCCCCTCCCAGGTTCGCCGCCGACGTTGGGACTCGTCGTCGTCGGCCGAGCAGTCGAAGGGAGGAGGAGGAGGAGGAGGAGGAGGAGGAGGAGGAGGAGAAGGTGGAGATGGAGGAGGCGGAGGAAGAGGAGGAGGAGCAGGAGGAGTCTGAGAGGGGCCGTTACAGTTCACAGGAAGGGGAAGTGACTGGTGCGTTATATGGGGATGGGTCGGAGGGACGATGTCCACGGCAGGTCAGCGACCGTCTTTCTTTATCGCCTCCTTTGATTCCCTCATGGTTCCCTCCTCTACCTCCTCTCCTTTGTGCTCGTCATGCTGCTCTACCCTTTGTCTCACCTTCTCCCTAATGCGCTCCCCCCTCCCCCAATGCGGGGGAGGGGGCAGGAAAGGTGTGCATGGCCGCGGGAGTACCCTTCAACCGCCATGAGTGAGTGAGCAGGAGGAGAAGAAGGAGGAGGAGGAGGA